TTTTAACTTCCTTATTTATGCCAAGCTCCTTCCTATATCAGGACCTTTGGTTATGCTCTTTCCTCTGCAAGCAACATAATTAACCTCTACTTTCCATGTAGTTGGCTCCTGATTCATTGAGGCTTAGTTCAAAGATCCCTTCCCCAGGTCTTCACTCATTATTCTCTGTATCAAGGTCCTCCAGAGAAACAGAGCCAATAAGATAGATAGATAGATAGATAGATAGATAGATAGATAGATAGATAGATTCATACATACATACATACATATATTGTTGGGGTAGCAAGTCTGAAATCTGTGGGTGAGTCCAGCAGGCTGGAAACTCCCAGTTAGAAGCTGATGCTGTAGTCATTAGGCTTATTTCTTATCTTCCTCAGAGAAATCTGTTTTGCTCTTAAAGTTCAGCTCATTGGATGAGGCCCACTCTCATTATCTAGAATTGTCTCCTTTATTTAAAGTCGACTGATTTTTGGATATTAACTACATATACAAAATATCTTCACAGCAACACCTAGCTTAGTATTTGACTGAAAAACTGGATACCAGAGCCTCATCAAATTGACACATAAAACTGTCATATCCTGCTAGAAGGATTTGACTCTTTTCGATCTTCATTTCTATGCCATTGGCATATGCGTCTTATTTCCTCACACCAGGTACCTTGATAAGGGCCTAGATTTTTTTCCTTATTACTATTCCCAAGGCTGGACTGAGGCATGCTTGACGGGGCAATAGAATTTGTAGGCTAGGGAATTGCCTCCATAAATTCCCCCTCACTTGTATTTTTCCAGTCAAGAAGTTTGCCACTTAGAGAGGATACTAAATTGTCACAAACATTGTCAAAATATAAACTCTACAAGTAGTAATAATAGTTATCTTGTTATTGGACATTCTAAACTGGTCTTGGTAAAGAAAGGGAAAGGGTCTGTCTATGGCACAGTTTTGAGTAAGGCTCACTCTTACCCTCAGAGGAAACTACCTTCTCCAATCCCTTCTCCGTTTAGTCCTTACTGTGTACATCTTTGCCTTGATTTCCTCCTCTCTCTAAACCGTGGCTTTCTATGACTCTGAATATTCTTTTTTTTTTTTTTTGTACTTGAACCTGATTATTCCAGAATACTTAATTAATGTTTGGTGTTTCCCAGATTAGCACTCAGCTGTGTTACTTAGTATTTGAGAATCCTGAAGTTTTCCTTGCAAGAAAATAGGTATCTTTCGTCTTCTTTCTTTTTTTTATAATGACATAACAATAAAGCACCTTTCTCCTTATACCATAACAGGAAGAGTGCACATTATAAAATGACAGGGGAAAATTTTTGGGAAAGACAGAGCCTTGATCATTTTCCAGTAATTAATTAAGAGGCACATCCTACTGAAAACAATGCAAAATCGCCACCCTTTCCCAAAGAATGGGAGGGAGAGTAAAAATACAGAGTTTACTAACTGTAGTCAAGTAACTTCTTTAGCCATAATTATCCTAAGATTCCCAAACTTGGAAAAATCTAGCGTACTTGCAAATGGGAAACATATCAAGTGACCCCCACCTGCAATCTTTGCACAAATAAGCGATGGGCAGTGGGCGGGGTGGGGAGGCTAGCTGGATGGTGAATCATGTGGGCCACTTGCTTTGCCTCCTTCTTGTGATAATGATCTTCTACCAACCCACTGAGCACCTCAGGGGGTGGGGGGAAGGCAGGAGTGGGGACAGGATATTATCTTCAATTTGGTCTACCTTGCTTTTCTTTAGAAGTACCAAGAGAAGGGAACAGAGGTTGAAATTAATGAGGTGGAAATGAGATTCTGAATTATCAGTGCATTTCAATTATCTCTGCTCACCCTTGCTGGTTGACCGCACTCAATTTCCTTTAGGCTTCCCTAGGTAGAGAAGTCTAGACTCATGAGAAAGAATTACTTCTCTTTCATGGGAGCTCTATTCCCTGTATCTACCTCTATTATTTTAAAGCGGGACTTAAAAAACTTAATGAGGCCTAAGTAGAACAACATTTTTACTTTTCATTTGTTGTCAAAAGCCTTGAAGACATTTTTGTCAATAGAGAAAGGGTTTTCCCTAGTGTCTTTGGACCATATTTCTAAAAAGCTTCTCCGTGTCACTTCTCTGCCTGTGGTCCCCAGAGTGTAAGTAACATAATACACCCTCTATGTAGTACTTTCTTCCTCAGTTTCTCCTGCCCTTGTTGGAGAAATAGCTTTCATTCTTCAAGACTGCTTTTAAGTTCTAATGTCAGAGAACTTCTGCAAAAACCAGATATGGGCTTGATGTGCAGTGGATTGAGAAGTTGAAATAACATAATGCCCACATGCCATAGCAGTGAAAATTCAATTATGTTCTATCTCCATGGGTATAGTAAACAATGATGCACCAGGCAGCTAGATCATAAAGTTAATTCTTTTTTAAAGGAAAAGAAAGAGTATAGCTAGGGAAGAAAAGAGAAGGGTTTTTGTCTCTGGTTGAAAAGCTAGCTCAAAGATCCTACCAGAAATAGTGAAAACTGCAGCCACTTGATGATGGCTTACAAGAAAGGGAATCTCATTGGTTTGAGGTCCTTTGTTTTGGTCTTTTTTCAGGACCTGGAGTGGGCCTGCAAGTAGGTAAAGTCTGGATTAAAGAGAAGTGAGGAGAGAGAATTCCAGTCAGAATCTGACAGGGCACAACGGTCAGAATGAGCACAGTGATGGTGGTGGTGGGGAGAGGGGTGGGCGCTGAGGAAGGTCGTCTGCCTAAGGGAAGGGCTGCCTCACAGGAGAAGGATGTAAGCCTCTTCTTTGAGGAAGAAGGGTCAGGGACAGTCTGGTTTGACTGAGTAGTGGCCTGTGTTGGTTCTGTCTGGCAGAAAGCCTCCATTAAGAGCTTCTGAACTGCCAAGGAAATTAGTCCCCAATTCAGCCTAGTTAAAATTCAACCTCCTCCTCCAATCCCACTCCTTCAAGATCCTGTCTTTTGGCCATGAGACCTTTAAAGTTGCTGGAATAATGGGGCAGAGAAGAAAAGGTTAACTGTTTTCTGTAAGCAATTAATTTGGGCATGCTATTTGAATAACTAGTATTCTAGTATTCTCTTAATTTGTTTTCCACTTGAAATTCAAAGCAGATTCATAACTACTCCATACAAGGACAAGATCTAGAGTTTTCTATCTGTCACCTCTATAGATGAATTATGTAATTACACACACACACACACACACACACACACACACACACACACACACACATTTCCAGAGTTACAACTTATTCCCCTCATTCAGTTTCGGTAGGTTCTGACCTGGTGCCCTTCACCTTTTAAATGGTGAAGGCAGTAGAGGAAATCTTAGCATTTGACTTTCAGCTCATCATAAACATACAGCTGTATATACAAGTTGTGTAAGAAAGCACACAATTACCATACCACTTGAAATAAAAATTGGCCATTTCCTTCAGGAAAAAAAAAATGTTGGCCTAGGAATCTTGTATTGTTCTCCTCCTTCTCCTTCTCCTTCCTCTTTTTTTCCTCTTAATTCTTGAAACCTACCAAGAAGATCCCAGGGAATGCATATAGTTTTCAAGTTTGGTTCTTGGTTATTCCAAAATACTCCTTTTTGGGATATACATGGACGTCTGGATCTTTATTGGATATGGTCTTTGCCCAGATGCCTAGCTCAGTCTGTTTTCTCGCTATTATCTTCAAGTGAAATCCAAATCTCTAGGAGGAGCTTAAAAAAAATAATAGCACCTGGTCTGGCACTCAGAATCTTAAGGGCTGAAAGCCAGAGCAGATTCTCCAACTATAAGAATCAAACCATTCATCGTCTGCCCTTCAGGTCTGCCAGCCAAGAGGGAACAGGAAGCTTGCTGTGAGTCCAAGACTGTGGAATGCAAAACCCCAAGCAGTTACTTGCTGTGGTTTTAAGCTTTGTCCTGGAAGTTAAGAACAATGTGAACGCTCTTCTAAATAACATTCTAGCCAATAAATACCCACCTAGCACCTAAAGTCTTTGAACCTACTCTAGTATGCACTCTTTACATGATATTTCAACACCATATTAGTCTTTAAGGAAAATTTAATATGGGTACTTGTGTACCAAGTGCCCAGATTGCCTGCATGATTAGGTTTCTATTTAAGACTGAGCAGATCAAATACCCTCCCTAAAAATCCTTAGTAGGCATTTTAATGCTTTTTGGAAACCTCAGCTAGCTATTGGACCAACTTTCTCACGGGTCACCCTTGATTTATAGTTCACAGATTTGCATGGGGTGAGGGGCAGTTTGAGAAGGATCTGAGTTTGCCATGTTTAACATGTATGTGCATTTAGACTGTATGCTTGCTGGCAATCCAATTTAATAGCTCATTTCCAAATCCTTTCTTGGAAAAGGAATGTCGATTACATAATCATGAAAAACAAACCTGTTGCCATCCAGCATGAGCTAACATGTTACAGTACTTCATGGCCGAAGGTTATTAAGCCAGCACCCAGTTTCTTGCACCAAGGGGAACACTGGGAAAGTGAAGGCCTGCCAGTTTTGTTAAAGGAATGCCACTTAGTGGTAACGACATAGGCAATTCACCTTTCTTGTTAGAGCACGCTGCCCGGGGACTTTGGGTTGATTAAGTAAGTGTTCCTTGACCGCTGATTAGGACTGTGTGATCATTAGCAACCGAGAAGCCTATTAAAGCAATTCTTTAGATTAGCTGGTCTCAGTAGGAAGACCACCTTGGGTGTTCCTAGTCCTCAAGATTCCCATCAAATGCATCTTCTGCTGTGCGGCCTTCCCTGACACCTACACTTCTGGCCAAGAGAAGTAATGAGCCCTGATCTGGCGTGGCCGTCCACAAGCATACAGTGTCTGTTAAATTCAACCAAAGAATTTTGGTGTTCTGGGTTTTTTAATGTTTTCATTCCTGTGGGCTTGGGGATAAAAGCCTCTGACTTAATTTTAATGTGTATTTCCTGGCTTAAGAGCCATACCGCAGGTAACCCTCCGATTCAAATACCTTATAAGCTTACTTTGAGGTGGAAACATCACCTTCATTGTTCCGGTAGAAATCGCAGATGATTAGGTGACAACCAAGGCAGAACAGGAAGCAGCCGTCCTTTGAATACCGCATGGCATGTCGCTGAGAGCTTTACACGGATGATCTCACTTCGTTCTCGTAACCACCCTAGTAGGTGGATATGGGTGAAGAGACTAGTTTGCCCAGTGCCTCTCGGCCAGTAGTGGTGGTGCTGGGTAGGAGGCTGCTTTGGTCGGACACGTACTCCCCCGCCCTGGGCTGTATCTCCTGGTTATCACAAGGCACAGGCACCTAGAGGACGAGGAACATACCCCTTAGTTGCTGTGGTCAGCAGATCACCTTTATACACCCGGAATGTGTAGTCTATCAAATTCGACTTCTGCATGAAATAATACCTTTCCTCCTGGGAATCAAAGAGCCCCATGCAAACCTGAAAAGTGCTGGTTACCTGTGTTTTTTTAAACAGTCAAGTGTTCTTGTTTTCTGGTTCGAAGACCTCAGAAGTGAATTCTCCTGGAAGGGAAAATATAAGCGTAATTTTAATGTTTTTTAAAGTTTATTTAGGGGCGCCTGGGTGGCTCAGTTGGTTAAGTGTTCATCTTCAGCCCAGCTCATGATCTTGTGGTTCTTGAGTTCGAGCCCCACATCATCGGGCTCCGTGCTGACAGCTCACAGCCTGGAGCCTGCTTCGGATTCTGTGTCTCCCTCTCTCTCAGCCCCTTCTCTGCTCAAGCTCTCTCTCTCTCTCTCTCTCTCTCTCTCTTTCTCAAAAATAAATAAACATTAAAAAAAATTAAGCTTATATATTTTTTAGAGAGTGAGTTGGGGAGGTGCGGAGAGAGAGGGAGTAAGAGAGAGTCCCAGGCAGTCTCCTTGTTGTTGGCACGGAGCTCTATGCAGGGCTCCCACGTATTGTGAGATCATGACCTGAGCTGAAACCAAGAGTAGGACATTTAACCGACTAAGCCACCCAGGAGACCCAGTGTGAGTAATTTTAGATATGCTTTCTCTCTCAAGTATCTGACTAGCTGATACTAGCCAAGAGGGAAAAGTTAGGTTCCCTCAGTGGCTACTCCTCCGACTTCCAGGAGGCAAAGGAGACAGGAACAGTTTTACTCAATTTATTTGTGGTTCATTTGCTCTCTGCCTCTTCCAGTGAGCTTTTAGATGAGGAAAAACAAAGTGGCTATTCTCTCCCCTCCTCTCCTGATGTCTTTCTTTCACCAGGTAGCTGGGAGGGTACAGTTTGATAAATTTGCACTATTCGAATAGGGGCCCTCGGATCTCTCATTCACAAATTCTACATATTATTATTTATTGAAAACTTACTATGCACCCAGCAATGAAGTGGGCAGTAAGGGTTCAAGACTCAGCTTCTTTGGTGGATACCTATGGAACTGGATTCTGGTAAAGTCCAGCAGGCCTCAGATGCTGTTCAAATATTGCATTAACTCTCAAAAGCAGTAGTGGTTTTAGGGTTGTGAGGTGCGGAGACAGTTAGGAATTAGGAAGGGTTAGCAGTGTGGAGAAGTCAGGGCTCCCCTGGGGAGAAAGTGAAAGGAAGGGAATCATCATAAGATATTTGTCTAGGGTTTTTCTGGTTGGAGAAGGGAGGACTGGAATATAAGGGGGCAACGGAAGTTGCTGGCTATTTATTCTGTGATATACAGAGGTACAGCATACCTTTTCTGAAACCATGGCTCAGAGGCTCAGTATTTATGATGTCCCTTCTCTCCATGTCAACCAGGCCCCACCTAAACACACTAGGAGCCGAATTCATGTCATAGTTGTAGGGAGACCCCTCCCTCCCCCCACAAGGTAGGCTTGTCTGAGACTGTCATGTGTTAGCACTGAAAGTCTCATGTCTCTGTGACCCCTTCCTCCAGGGCATTTGGTCACATTGGTCCTCCTAACTGCTTCCTTGAAATTCAGCAAGCTGAACTTACGCAACCTTCATATGTATGTAGGGTAGTATTTTGCTGAGAGTCAAGTAAGACAGTTTTAAAATGTTATATTCTCAGTTATTTTTTTTCAATGTCCTATACCTTAAAATAAAAACAAAGAGCCTCCATCCAAATCCATTTAAAAATACTCCAGAACTATTCTCACCAATTTAGGGCACGAATGATGTAACTATTTCTCCAACATGGACTTCAAATAGAGTGGCTATACAATTTAGCTGCCAAAATTAAGATATTTTTGAGAATAAAAGGGGGACTAAAATGATTTAAAAAGTATAACTTTTAGCATATTTATTTACTGTGGCGCCTGGGTGGCTAGGTCGGTTAAGCATTCAACTCTTGATTTTGGCTTGGGTCATGATCTCACAGTTCGTGAGTTCGAACCCCACACCTGAGTTCCCTGCTTGGGACTCTCTCTCTCTCTCTCCCTCTCTCTCTGCCTCTCCCCTGCTCTTGCTCTCTTGCTCTCTCAAAATAAATAAATAAACTTAAAAAAAAATCTATTTACCAACAAATTGGTTTTATGTTGTTGGATCTATAAAACAGTTTTAGTAAAAGCCATTTTCAAAAAAAGAATTGTTTCTTAAAAACCTATATATTCACATATATTAAAATAAAAAGGTTTGAAGCATTTATGTTGATTATCTGAATATTAAAAATAGTCTAAGTGGAATAATTGTTGTTGGTATATATTCACATACTTTATCCATTTTCTTGCTTTATCATTTGATTATACTCTGCTATTGAGATATTTCTGAAGAATGTATTTTTTCACTGTGGTCTTACTATATATGTATTTTTAAAATAAATTTGTCATACTCCCTATCAGTTGATTCCTCTCTGTAGTCCACAGTGTTTTCAACTGAAAAATTACTCTTCAGGTGGCAAGGCTCATAGTAAGCTCAGAATAAATTCTCCTAAGTAGAGGAAATTCTCAATTCTATCCTTTTTATTTTGAAATGTGTAAGTATTTCAGTCAATGTATTTTCACACATGATTTCTGTTTGCTTCTTTTCAGAGTAGATTTCTTTAACAAATACTTTTGTTAGGCAAAACTTGTCATAATTTGTCTCTATTTATACTTAAAAATATTTTGTATAATGTAGATGCTTCAAAATTGTTAGCTTTTAGGATTCCATGCCATTCTATGACAGAATATACATTTATGAAATAAATCAAGGAGCTCCACTAAAAAATTATTCCACAAGTTTGTATATTCCAAGGTGCAGTTGTAGAATTTCAAAATTAGATTTTATAAACTGATTAAGCTCTCATTGTTTAATTTATTCAATTCTTTCTTTGCTTTTATAGGATAAAGTTCAACATCTCATTGTTTCCAAATTTTGTTTTTAATAACTACCATTCTCTCAATGCTTCATGGAACATTTCTGCTCCATAAACATCTTCTTTAGCAAGAAATTTATTGACAAAAGATAGAATGTATGCAGAATTTGTATTCATATGGTCCTCACAAAACAAATAATTTTATCTTCAAAGTTCAACTTTTTAATTGAATTCGCAGTAGCATTTACAATATGGCCAGATGAACTTTTTCACTTTGATTCCATGAATTTCATGAAAAAAATTGAACACTTACTGAAGTTGATCAATTTGTAATTTGAAGCATCTGTTGAAACATAAAAAAAGGGGTCATTTAGCTGTCCACAGCTAAATTCTTCCATTAATGAAACTAAAGACATCAACAGTTGTTGCTTCCTATTTCATACAGGTCCAAGAAAATCTTAAAATAATGTCTAAGGTTTGAAGTAAATCCTGGAGCCTCTACAGCATATTTATTTTTTCCAGTTTTTCTTACTACAGGTCTCCTGGTGGATAGTAAATTGGCAAACATTTTAGGTACATTATATATTCGTAATCAACGTCACTGAGAAATGAAAATTCTGTACTTAATTTTTTCGCTAAGCCCACGTTTGTTTTGTTTCTTGAGTTCATGGCTGCTGAGAGGGTTCATTGCAAAATCTTTAAAAAGCATTACCAAACAATAACGTAAATAAAAGTAAATAAATACTTGTAGATTTCCATTGTCTAGTAAATGGCAAAACCATTTTAGCAGGATTGTTCATACCACTTGTATAAGTGCTTTGGCAGGCATGCTGAACCCCCACTTCCCACATACATTTCACATTCACCAAATTTCTCATTTCTCACATTTCACAGTGATCCCACCCACTGGCCTAACGACTTCATCATCTCCCAGGCACCACCAGGGACCAAGGCACAACTGATTCATACACCAGATGGCCACCAGGGGCAGCAGCAACAAACACTTCTCCCAATCCCAGGACCAGAAATTGTCCAATGCCACCTGGATGCAACCACTCTTTATCAGCCAGCATCCTGCTAAAGGGGTCGAGTCGGTTAACTGTGTCAAGAAAGTTTTCAAAAAAGTGAGAGGAGTTATCATTGATAGTTCAGATTTAAGCTCTTGTTACCTGTTGAAACCTGTTTATTGCCCATGTACCTCACACACTACTAGAGAAGACCATGGTAGAATATGGAAGTACAAAGTGATCTACCAAACCCGTCCTGGCTTATTCTAATACCACAAGAAATAATAATATCTTGTTAAAAGCAACAATCATAACAACAACTCTGGGACACATGTTAAATCAGGGAGAGGCCAGGAAGTATATTCACTTTGTCTATTGACCACAGGAGTGCTTCATAAAATGACTTTCTGTACTCCCTCTTCAACATATGAAATCAGAACTAGATATAGCCTCAACATTTGCATTTTTGAAAGGCTTTCCATGATATTCTTAGGGACACTAAAGATTTATTCCTGGTTTGGAAAATTCCTTCACCTCTTATTTCAAGGTGTCAAACCTGCTGTTTACAGAGATCAGGAGTATCACGCACTTTACTCCATGGTTTACCTAACACCTGGACCAAAACTGTTATTGAAAGTGAGCTAGAGACAAATTGAACTTAAATTCAGTCACGTGATGATAAATACTGTCATCTCCTTTGGCAAACTTGCAAGCTGTGCGATTTTGTATCTTTTTTTTTTTTTTTTTTGCAACTTGGGCCTCTGATAACAGACACATTCTTTCTTTTGAGGATCAGGTTTCCAACCAAAGAATAAAAAATATACTGAACATTGATTTTTTTTATGTTTACTTATTTTTGAAAGAGAGAGAGACAAAGTGGGAGTGGGGGAGGGGCCAAGAGAGAAGGAGACACAGAATCTGAAGCAGCTCCAGGCTCTGAGCTGTCAGTACAGAGTCCGACGTGGGGCTTGAACCCACAAACCAAGAGATCATGACCTGAGCCAAAGTCAGACGCTTAACCAACTGAGCCACCCAGGTACCCCAGTGAACGTTAATTTTAATAGTTTGGAAGAAATAGGTACCAGGTAAGCATTCTTAAAAAATGAAATACTACTGAAAAATTTTAAATCTGTAAATTATTTCACTTTATTCATTATAATTTCTATTGCAAGAGTCCTGAGAATGTGTTTCTAATTTCTATAAGGGAATTGATTCCAGCATGATGAGGTTCTATTTGTTTAGAAGATTTTCTGTATTTGCA